CACACAAATGGCAAGTCAAGATTTGAGCTTTTTACTTCAGGAAGAAGCTCCAACCTCTGAAAAGCTCGGATCTACTCTTGCCCACAACTCCTAGCCTCCAAAATGGCCTCTTCTTCTCTTCCACCACCTTGAAATGACACTTTGAAGCTTAGAACACCAACACACTAGCTAGAAACGAATGAGGACTCTCTATTAGGGTTTCACTCTCTGGAATGGGGGCTGAGGTCAAGGCCATAACATTCCTTTTATAATGCACAAGCCCCAAATTAGGGTTTACACCTGGGCTCGCTATGCCCAATGTAACCTTGGGTATGCCCAGGGTACCCATGCGAGTTTGCGTCCAAATTAAGCGCGCGAGTACGTGCAACGTACTCTCAATACGCCCAGCGTACTCACAAGTCTAACAATTCATTAAGGGGGTTAACTTGACAACTTGGGAAAAGGAGAAGGGTTTAAGAGACACACCTGAATTCAGGATGTTACAATAACAAATCTCAAATAATCATTAATAAGGGAATACGTACCAACAACAACGTCAGGTGCTGCGCGGATCTCCTACGCAGTCAACTGGAAAGCTCTCCCATGAGCCCTTGGAGCTTTGGCCTTCACTGAATGACCATCAATAATGCACAAAGCATCAGGAACAGAAGTCTGGGTTGATCCCTGAGTGAGTTGAGGACACTCGGCCTTTCGGTGGCCGACCTTGTTGCAATGAAAGCAAACCACAAACTGCAAATCCCTTGGGGCAGTCCTTCGCCATATGCCCCTCCTTACCATAATTGTAGGAAATCCATGATCGAAAAGATCCTTCATGAATCTTTCCGCACTTGCCACAAGTGAGACCCTTCTGGCCCCCAGCTCTCGTATCGGTGGGCTTAGCCCGCTTGGTCGCGGACTGCGACTGTACTGGTCTCCTGTCTCTACCCCGAGACTCCTCTTAGCTCAATCTCCCTCCTCATGGCATTGGTCTGTAGCTCAACCAATGTCTGATACGAAGAGTTTTCCATGAACTCCCAAATATCTTGCCTCAGTATACTAAAGTATCGGCTCACATGTTCTTGCTCCGTAGACATGTTCTTGGGGAAAAACAACTCCCTCTCATGAAACATCCTCGTAATCTCTGTCATAGTTTCTGTCTTTTTTTTGAGTAACAAAAACTGCTGGGGTAACTGCTCCCTTTCCACTTGGGGAGCATACTCATCTCGGAATAGTTGTGTTAACCTCGTCCATGTCACTGTTGCATGATCTGCAGGAGAGTAATCGGTCGTCACAAATCTCCACCAGTCCTTCGCTTCCAAGCGAACCTGGTTCAACGGTAATCAGACCTTCAAATCCTTAGGGCATGAAAAGGTATAGGAACATCCCTTAATATCAGATATCCATCTCATAGTAGTAATCGGGTCCTGAGTCCCATTGAACTCCGATGGATTCGTGTTGCTGAACTCCCAAAGCAACAACGAATCACCCCCTTGAGGCCTCGCAGCAGCTAGGGCTGCGGTGGCTACGGCAGCAACAACCTCTTTGACGCTAATATATCGCTCATCAAAAGTCTCGATCAGTATGGTCTTAATAGACCCGATCATCTCTGGTATGGCCTCTCTGATAGCGGCATCCACCTCCACTGCAATGATCCAACAGATCTCCTCGTTACCGGTATCACTGCCCCCTGGGTTGTTGCGGGTAATCACCATAGTGCCTCTGAAACGTAAACACAAAATCATCAGAGACTAGCTCAAACACCAACACACTAGATTACCCACTCCTACATGGTCATTAGTATCATAAGGTTCTTACTTGGGTCGCATACAGATCCGCTTCTTTCAGTAGTATGGGTCCAATACTACCTTCCACACCAACCTGTAGTCGCCCTAAGTCCTCCTCCTAGGATCCTAATTAACAAGTACTTTATCCCTCACGGATATCAAACTACTCTCTCAGTAGACTCCTCAAATGCTCATCCAAGTATCTCTCCTAGATTACTCCTCGACTCAAGACTCTTTCAAAAAGATTCCTTCTAGGTACTCCTACTCAGCACATACACATAGCAAATAGCAAATAATATCAATCAATAGCATCCCCTAGGCTAATACATCCTGGATCAGGCAACTCTAGCTCTAATTTCTGAAATATCTAGACTATCCTCTAGCATGTAGCTCTAATATCTCATAAGTATCTCATAATATCAATAAGTAACGGTATTTTGGAAAATCACCGTTGAGTTCTGGCTGATTGTACACACTGCTTCACCCCGTTTTCTCTTAAAAGCTTTTAATTGTTTTAGAAAACTCATTTCTTTTATTTTTTTTTAAATCCTCAGTTGGAGTCCAAGCATACCCAAGGGTACATTCGAATCCCTCAAACCAAGGCTCTGATACCAATTTGTAACACTCTAAATTCTCAAAGAAAAAATTTCATTTTTAAAATCACATAAAACCCAATATCACATTTCTTAAAAACCACAAAATGTATAAGTTGTCAAAAACACAAGTCAACAAATGTTTGATAATATCCCAGAATCCTCAAAAACATAATGTCTGACTGGTGTGTACAATCAAGTTGGAGCCTTCCCGTGATCCTAATAGGTACCTAAAACACATATCACACAACAATATAAGCACAAAGCTTAGCGAGTTCCCCAAAATACCACACACAAATAATTAACCTATATGGCTATATCTCGATAAGGACCCTCCGGTCATGTGTCTAAGTGAAGACCCTCCGCTCCTAACCCAATAAAGCACATGATAAAATACAACATAAATCACAAAGACAAATGCATGATATCACGTAACTCAATATAAGCATATAAGACCCTCCGGTCGCACAATATTACCACTCAGATAAGTATAATGAGAAGACTCTCCTCGTAAGTAAACAAGTAGGTCTCATACTCCACAAACGGTCTAGACTCTTCCTACACATCATAATCATCTCTAATTAACACTTTATAACCACAACCCTAAAAAGTTAGTCTAACCCTTTCTCTAACTCATGGAAAGGGTGAAATACCATTTTACCCCTCCATGGTCTTCACAATTCATGGCTTGACCAAACCCTAAAAGTTAACGAAAGTCAACAATCTATGTTGACCCAACTCATTGAGTGCATCTATACGACTCATCGAGTTCCTTCGTTTTCTCTGAAGTATCGGGGAAATCCATCTCAACTAGTCGAGTTGTCTCACCAACCCGTCGAGTTGCAGTGCGTCCAAACTATCAAGGAAAACCCTATCCAACTCGTCGAGTTGGCTCATCAACTCGTCGAGTCCCTTCAGTCCATTCTCTCATTCAAACATTTTTAAGAAGAACTAAGGCCTCATACTCCAGATCTAGCATTCTAAGGCTGAAGTATCATGTAAAACTGCAAGCTTTTACGTCTATGCATGGCATCTAGGGCTCAAAATGCCAAAACATGCTCTGTAGAGGGTTTAAAGCTTGAAAGCATGTAGCACCCGGTTCCTAGTATGTAATTTATTTTTGTATTTTGCATTTTTGGCCTGGGACTCGGCGAGTTGAAGGCCCAACTCGTCGAGTAGGAGATGGTTTGGACAGGACTTAAGTGACAGACTCGTCGAGTCGACGGCTAGACTTGACGAGTAGGCTCTGTCTGGACAAAAACCCTAATTTGAGGGTTTGCACCCTATTTAATCATCTCTTTCAGCCGCTACTCGTCCCTATTGCTCCCAAAGACCCTCCATAGCAAACCCTAAGTGTTTTGGTGCAAGATCTAAGGCTTTTGAGTGATTTTTGTGGGTTTTGACCTCAAGCAAGAAGGACGAGCATAGAAAGATCAAGAGGAGACTAAAGGATTCCAGTTTGGTTCATCATTTGCAGTTTTTGAAAGGTATAAAGTTTGTACCTTGCTTGCTTGTTTGTTAGATCTCTTTTTGGGGAAGATTTAGGGCTTTTAAGCCATATGAGGTGACCAACCATGATTTTTAAACATGGTTGGGGGTAAAGACTTCGGATCTAGCACTTGGGAAGAGTCACAAGGCAGATTCGGGTTGCTTTTGCACCCAAGGAAGGTCCCATGCAACAAAAGATCCATTTTAGAGCCTTTATGGCTCAAAAGTCCCATGCATGCACGTAAAAGTTCGTAACTTTACATGCTAGATCAAGCTTAGGGGATTGGATCTATCATTTGGAAAAGTGTTGTACATTAGAAATCGAGGATTTAGGGTGTGGACGTTATTGACTCGGTGAGTCCGTTCTTGGGGCTTGACGAGTCCAAGGCATTTAGTCCCATATCTGTTGAGGGTCAAAAGAACTCAGTTGGGTGTTAGAAGGGTTGTAGCAGGTCAGAAGGAGTGACCCAACACATTGGACTTAGTTTTAGACCTGGAGTTCATAGGACTCGGCGAGTGCTAGAACAGACTCGGCGAGTCCAAGGCAACCTCCTTATGTTTGAAGATAAACTCGACGAGTTGTTCATATAACTCGTCGAGTCGGATGAAGGTTCATTGATGTTTGTAAAGAATGGGAACTCGTCGAGTCATTGCCAAACTCGACGAGTCAAGTCATGGATAAGGACGAATAAAGGGTAGGGACTCGATGAGTTGACGGCCCAACTCGGCGAGTCGGGTCAATTGGAAGTTGACTTTGACTTGGACTTGGTTGGGGGTAAAATAGTCATTTTACCCTAAGAGTAGATATCAGATTCTGACTGAGTATTTTGTGGGGATTATAGCCGGAGGATTTCCGGAGCAGCAGCAGACAGAGGTTTCCCGTGCAGATTATCAGTAGCTACTCGTACGAGGTGAGTTAACTTCCAGTAGGGGTGGGTATAAGGCCACAATACCGACCCACCAAAGAGGGGTATTTAAAAAATGATTGTCTTTGTGATAAGTATCTTGTTCTGGTTATGTGCTTTGGTCATGAGATTTATTTGTATGATATGTTATGTGTATAGTACGAGTCAGTTTCCCTAACAACGGTCCTTAGGACCGAAGGGTAGGTCAGTACCCGGATATGCCTGACTGTATGTTTATATCTTGATGTTGTATGCTAGTGGTAGGGGGTGGAATAGTCCCCAGTTACCGGTTGAAAGATACCGATGAGAGTTATCGGTTGAAAGATACCGACGATGATTACCGGTTGAAAGATACCGATGATGATTACCGGTTGAAAGATATCGACGATGATTACCGGTTGAAAGATATCGATGATGATTACCGGTTGAAAGATACCGACGATGATTACCGGTTGAAAGATACCGATGATGATTACCGGTTGAAAGATATCGACGATATTGTACGGTATGCGGTATGATGGGGGGACTCACTAAGCCTTGTGCTTACGGTTTCTGTTTTGGTTTCAGGTACCTCTTTGTCTAAGGGGAAGGAGCCGGTAGCATAGCATCGCATCACACACACACATGATTCCGCATCGGACTTTCTGGGATTGCACTCTGATTTTCATTATTTTTGATGTCATGGTTTGGGACACAATATTATGATTTTGTAATGTGTTTCTTTATTGACAATGTTATGGTAAAATGTTTTAAAAATTATTAATTCAAAAATGAAATTTTTGGGCTTGAATTTTAGGATGTTACAAAGCAGGCCATTAACTTGATAAAGCTCGAATCTTTAGGCCTAAGGGATCTCACACTATCTAGATCTAAATTCACAATTCCATGGCAAGCTCAAACAATTTAAGGACCCAAAGAAAATATGGAAATGGCCATAAACTCCTAGCGCATAGATCTAACCAAAGAATGATCAAGCTGATAGCTTTTTACCTCCAAATAGCAGCTAGCACTAATAGAACACCGGATTCAATAGCTTTTTCTTGTTCCAGACCTTTTGCTCTTCAATCTCCTTCCAAAAATGCACTAAAAGATATCTTAGCCTTTCTCTCTCTTACAATGAATACAACTCGATTAGGGTTTCTCGCAGAGGGTCAAGATGGAGACAGAAATGAAAGATTAGGTTCCTTTAAATAGGGTACAATCCCTAAAAATTAGGGTTTTCACACTCAGATCCTACTTGTCGAGTTGGGGTCCTCGAACTCGTTGAGTAGACTCTAAAAATCATGCGACCATTTAACTCTCAACTCGGCGAGTTGGGGCATCCAACTCGTCGAGTTGCTCTGACAACATGAAAATAAATTAATGAAATATAATACATGGGAGTCGGGATGTTACACACCCAAAGGGGAGAAATATCAAAGTTCAAATGAAATGATAAACCTTAATCATTAACAGATGGCATTCTCACGATCGGTCGAAATAAGATCCCATACTTGTTTGAGACCGAATAGATTTCGCCAATTTGTAACTAGCTTAAGAAGACTTCGAAGGTGATCCTGAATGATACCAAACTTGAGCCTACTCTGAGCCAAAATTCCACACCACCCTTGAGACTAAACATACCCAGAGACCAAAGGGACATAAAACATACTGAACTTGATGATAGGTTGATACATCCGTTGAACTTCAACTTTCACAATTTGAAACTTTGGAGAATCTCCACTGAATGATGCAAGAAACTTCGGAGCCAGACGTACTCAACTCTAAGACTGATTTCCTGATCGACATTTTCCCAAGCTAGAGAATATATAGAAATCCATACCTCGAGCTGACAAATCCCTTACTAAATGATACTTAACCTAAGTGATCCTAGCGGCTCCTCATGTATTCATTGGCACCCCTAAAAGGAAGCAATAACTGCAACGAGCTCTCAACCAACTACATTTTGTTGAGAGACAACTCATGTACCTCCTAGACACATATATCTGATTGCCACTTACTATATACCCCTACCTTGACCAAATCTTGAGCCGATATTCCATCTTCCCACATTGTAGATCCCTATAATCCATTCTTCTAACATTATGAACTCAAACCCATCGATGATCCCTCCAAGCTGAATACCTCGTTCTCCCTCACTTAGGGTTCGAACTACCACCCATAGGTGTTGAAATCTGGTACAACCATCCCTGACCCTGGGATGTATAACAGACACATGATAATCTTCTAGATAAGGATCAGATAAATCCTAAGAGAATTCTGAATTTTAGCTGAAGACCTATGAAATTTCCCTATCATAACCACTTTAACGTTAAGGATTTCATACAAATGCATACTCAAACACTGACTTTCGATCCAAAACATACACTCCTTGCCTGCAATCCCAACCTACAATCAGGCACCTGACTTTCCTATATCCAAGGAAAACATACCCTTGATCGCATCACTAAGCATTCATACCATAACAATCCTACTGCGCATTCCCACGCTGGCATACTGTCACCAAACACCACAACCAACTGGCCCCATGCCGGGTTTACATCCCAACTCTAATTGTTACAAGACTGCTCACTCCTTCTCTAAACTCGAAAAAACTAAAATAGCATAATCCTTGCCACAGATAACGAAAATCCAATCCATCAATCAACCACTCAACTTCCAGTTGCAATCCCCAAGCTGATCATAACAATCGCCTTACGTGTTGTAACATCCCAAAATTTTCAATGAATTTTAAACTTTTCGTAACACCCATTTAATAATAAAAGCGTTTACGAAAACCATTGTCTCCAAAACATTATTTTAAAAAAATCAGAGTCTCTCAAGATCCAATCATTCATAAAACCAAGGATGTGTACGGTCACACCTTCGCCTCATCACGGTCCTCTGAAGAATCTGAAACCAAAAACTAAAACTATAAGCATGAAGCTTAGTGAGTTCCCCCAAAATACCAACACACAAACGTATAACATATACAAATAACAACATGTCAGGTCCATTCAACCATCGAGTTGGAATACCACAAGCTCAATCAACCATCAAGTTGGAATATCCCAGGCCCAATCAACCATCGGGTTGGAATGTCAATATACTATGGGTGTAGTCAACCATCGGGTTGGGATATCCCAAACCCAATCAACCATCGGGTTAGAATGCTAATATACTATGTGTGCAATTGTAACACCTGGTTCCGGGTACATATTTTTAAATTAAGTATTTTGCATTTTGGCTTGAGACTCGGCGAGTTGGTGGCCCAACTCATCGAGTAGGAGCGGATTGGACATGGGAGTTAAGTGGCTGACTCGACGAGTTAGAGATCGGACTCAACGAGTCCGTGCTGTCTGGACAAAAACCCTAATATGAGGGTTTTCACCCTATATAAACACCTTAACTTAGCCTCCCTTGTCCTTAATACTCTCTTAGAGTTGCATATCGAAACCCTAGCCGATTGTGTGTGTGTGTGTTAAGGCCATTTTGGTGCTTTTGTTGACTTGTGAAGCTTAGAAGGAAGAAGAGTAGCTTGAGTATTCGACTTGGGGCTTGTGGATCCAGAAATCTCATCCCATATTCAGCTTAATCAAAGTAAAATGCTCCTGCTTTGGTCTTCCATTTGGTTGTTCATCTTTAGATCTTAGATCTTGGGTACATTTAGGGCTTTCAAGCCATTTTCAGATTTAAAGGGTGTTATGTGGACTCTATCCTTCAGATCTGGGCCTTAAGAGGGGTCTCATGGCATAAAGGTTCCAACTTTAGGGCCATGAGAGCCCCATGCACATTGTAGGACACTTTATATGGATTTTTGAGCTAAAAACCCCATGCATGTGCATCAAGTTTGGAACTTTACGTATAAAATGGACATTAGGAGGCCAGATCTATGGTCTTGGTGTGTTAGACCTCACTTAAATCGAGTATATGGAATTGGTCAAGGTTGGACTCGACGAGTTGCTCTTGGCACTCTACGAATCGGTGACCATTGTGTACCCAAACCCTTTCGATGAATGGGTAAGTGTTAGGAAGGAAGTCCCTTGTGGGTTTGGATGCGAAAAGGGACTTGGAAGTCAAGGGACTCGGCGATTGGTATGAGCAGACTCGGTGAGTCCATAACAATCTCCCAATATTTGAAGATGGACTCGCCGAGTTGTTAATACAACTCGGCGAGTCATAGACTGGACAAGTTCTTAAGTTGGAGTTGAACTCAACGAGTTCAAGAAGGAACTCAGTGAGTCGGATGAAGATGGTCCCGATGTTATGATTGAAGGAAAACCTGTCAAGTTTTGGCTAGACTCGACGAGTGGAGCCGGGGTTTTGTGTGGGATTAGAGAAGCATGGACTCGACAAGTTGGTAGGCCAACTCGGCGAGTTAGGTCAGCTGAATGTTGACTTTGACTGAACTTGGGCTAACCCTGTTTAGGGTTGTATGTGATATGTGTTGACTTGAAGGTTTTCGTGTAGGGATCAAGGAGTCATTGGGAGTTGACTTGTGCGCCGAGGATAGTTCAGACACTACACGATATTAAGGTGAGTTACCTTCCAGTAGGGGTGGGTCTAAGGCCACAATGGCAACCCACCAAAAAGGGGTATTTAAAAGATAATGGTCTTTGTGATAATTATCTTGGTCTGGTTATGTGTTGGTTATGAGGTTTATCTGGTTAGTATGTTATGTGTATGGTAGGGATTAGTTTCCCTGACAATGGACCTTAGGACCCAAGGGTGGGTCAGTACTCGGATATGCCTGACTGTATGCTTATATTTGTTGATTGTATGCTAGTGTTCGGGGGTGAAATAGTCCCCAGTTACCGGTTGAAAGATACCGATGTTGATTACCGGTTGAAAGATACCGAAGATGGTTACCGGTTGAAAGATACCGATGAAGGTTACCGGTTGAAAGATACCGACGATATTGTATGGTATGTGGTATGATAGGGGAACTCACTAAGCTTTGTGTTTACAATTTTGGTTTTGGTTTCAGGTACCTCTTCGTCGAAAGGGAAAGAGCCGGCGGTGTAGCAGCGCATCACACACACATGTTTCCGCAATAAGTTTTTGGGATCGTACTCTGATTTTTAATACATGATGTTATGGTTTGAAATACAACATTATGATTTTGTAATGGAATGTTTTATTGACAAAGTTTTGGTAAAATGTTTATTAAATGCGTTAATTCAAAAATGAAATTTTTGGCCTTGAATTTTGGGTCGTTACAGCAATCATCCACCGGGTTGGGATGCCCTAGGCCCAATCAACCATCGGGTTGGAATACCAATATACTATGGGTGTAGTCAACAACCGGGTTCGGATGCTCTAGGCCCAATCAACCATCAGGTTAGAATGCCAATATACTATGAGTCCAGTCATCATCGGGATGAAATACCTTTCATGTTATATATATATATATATATATGCTTTTAAAATTCAAATTTTAAACATCCCTTTCAACCAATATAAATAATCATTCATCTTTTATAATCTATGTAAATTTTAATTTATTGTAACTTTTTAAATTTAACATAAAATGTTGATGTTTTTAAAAAATATAACTTATTTAATGTTAATTGTTTGTGTCTTAAAAGAGAATTTATTAAAATGAAATGTTGTGTATTAAAAATATAATTTATTTAAGTTTGTAAAAGAAAAAAAATCAAAAAGTTTTAGAGGTGATATCACTCTCTGTATGAAATAAAAAAAAATGATATCAGAGGGGTGTTGTTAGGATTGTTGCCACTCCTTTTAGATTAAATATATTACCACATTACTTTTTTACCTTGCACCTAAGGTTTATATATATATATATATATATATATATATATATTGAAAACAAAAAAGAAAAAAGAGCCAATTACAACCTAACACACATTCTCTCTCCAACTTCACCCCTCTCTCCTCAGGTTTTAGAAACCAGGGGTGTTCGCGGTGCGATTTTGAGTCAAACCTGCAAATCGCAACGCATATGCAGTTTGAGTTTTTTTTGAAACCGTAAACCGCACCACGAACGTTTGAAACCGCGTTAAGCGATGCGATTTAATGCGACGAGTTTATACGGTTTGTGTGGTTCGATAAGTTGTTTAATTAATAACTTTCACATATAAAAACATTTTGGTGATTTTAGTATTAGATTTTTAAAAACCAAAAATTTAGGTTGATTTGGTCCTTTTGTGATATGAAACGGAAAAAAAAGAAACCACAAAAAGTAATTTGAGTGCATCGACTTTTTGTGTAAGTTTAATACTTTAGTTAATTAATTTCATACATAAATATAACTATATTTCTTGATTCCATGTTCGGCATAACCATAGCTCATATAATTATGTCATTTTCACTAAGAATTCTTAATAATTTTAATTGTAATGGCTACCAAGAATCACCCAATGCTAATTCTATTTATAAAACTAAATTAACAAACTTCTTTCGCATATTATTTATGTAGAACGATTATATATATAGACACACATGGTTCGGTGCGGTTTGAACCGCGACTTTATAGTTAAAAACCGCACCACGTAGTGCAGTTTAGAAAATTAGAAACCATAAACTGTACCACGAAAGTTCTAAACCACACTACGTGGTGCGGTTTGGTGTGGTGCAGACGGTTTATACGGTTTGATGCAAACCCGTAACATATTCTAGGGGGTGGTGTAGAACGTGCCAAACAAGCTTCGCGTTCTCCTTGGCGAGGTCGACTCCTCGTAGTCTCGACATCATCAACTACATTCTGAATTAAATGTTGGCTTTTAAAATTAAAAATAAAAATCAAAAGAGTAAATCATCATAATTTGTTGTCAACTTTTATCAAGAATTAGTTAAAGGGAAAAAAAACAAAGCATATTATAGACACAACTTGCTCATCAAAAAGGACTTAGAAGCTTTAGTGCTAGAGTACTCCCCCTCCCCCAACACAGAAGGATCACAGGAATCTTTATGGTCTTATTCTGAATTTCCTGCCACCCCTCTCTCTCTCTCATCTCCAACTCAATCTTCTCCACTTTCATTATTCCGCCACTACCACCACCGTTACCATCATCACCACCACCATCACCACCACTTGGTGTATGTGACAATTGCATTCTCCCAAAATAAACCCATTCCCTCACTCTACAAAGCCTAAGCTTTCTCTCTCTCTTCCTCCCCACCACCATCTACCACCCACCAATCACCTGTTCATATTTAAGTGTGTACAGTTTGTAGTGTCAGAATTGGGCATCCCCAAAATAGTTTATTAAACTCACCAAAAAGCCTGCTGTTAAAAGCTGTTTGAGAAGGTGAAGATGGGTTAGGCTACAATTTAGGGAGGTCTACTTTTTTTTTTAATCTTTCTCTGTGTGTATGTGTGTGCTGTTATGGAGCTTGATTGTGGGCTGGATTGCAGACCCTTTACGGCGATGCAGTTGCAGGATCAGTTTTTATCTGAATTGTGGCAGAGATTAATCGAAATTTATAGCGAATTTGATCAAAGTAAAGAAAGTAGTTCGTGTTTTCTTTGAGTTTTGTGTTTTTGTTTCCAAAGGGTCTGAGTCTGGATTCTCAGAGGAATTATCTGGATTTTTACAAGAACAGCTTGAATCAGAATCAAGAACTGTTGGATTCACGATATGTAGCGGAAGAAGAGGAAGATAGTCAAGGGTTTCGAATTGGGTTGCATGGGTTTCCGTTTCACGGTGGATTAGCTGGAGAGGCGGCGGCGGCGGTGCAACCTCTGCTTCCGCCGCAGAAGAAACGGTCGTATTTGTTTTCTTTGGTGGAAGACGAAAATGCAACGGATGAGAAAATGGGAGGAAGTTACCAGTACGAACATCAAGAACTCTGCCGGCGGCAGTCACCGGTGGGTGGGTCGTCGAGATTGGGGTTGAGAAACTCCGGTGGCGAAATTGTGGAAGTTCACGGTGGTCACATTGTACGATCAACTGGCCGGAAAGATAGACACAGTAAAGTATGCACCGCGAAAGGACCGAGAGACCGCCGTGTCCGCCTCGCCGCCCACACCGCCATCCAATTCTACGACGTACAAGACCGACTGGGGTACGACCGTCCGAGCAAAGCCGTCGACTGGCTGATTAAAAAAGCCAAAGCCGCCATTGATGAGCTCGACGAGCTTCCCGCCTGGAAACCGACTTCCACCGCCGCCGCCACAAATTCAACTTCAATTTTGAATTTTGAGCGATACCCAAATGATTGTATTATTGATAATCAAATGAGTAACACTCAAAATTCAAGCTTTTTACCTCCATCTCTTGATTCAGACTCCATAGCTGATACGATTAAGTCGTTTTTTCCGATGGGTGGTTCCTCGTCACCGCACAACAGTAACTCGTCGGCAATGCAATTTCATCAGAGCTTCTCACCGACGGATGTTCTTTCAAGAAGTAGTAATCAAACTCAAGATCTAAAACTCTCTCTTCAATCATTCGAAGATCCGATGCTTCACCACCACCACCAACAAACCGAAGAAGGTAACAGTATGTTTCTAGGTGGCTCCGGCTGGCCGGAGAGAATGGTGGGTTGGGGCGGCGGTGTTTCCGGTGGCTTTCCCTTCAGTTCGCCGCCAACACAAACAACGCCGTTCCTACAGAATCATTTGTTCAATAACAATTCGCAGAGGGGACCCCTTCAGTCCAGTAACACACCTTCAGTTCGTGCTTGGATCGACCAGCCACCGTTCATCGGCGCTGCGGCATTTGACCACCCGTCTTCTATGTCCGGTTTCACTTCCGGCGTAGGTGGGTTCTCTGGGCTTCTTATTCCGGCACGTATTGAAGGTGAACAAGAGGAAGACGACGGCATCTCTGATAAACCGTCCTCTGCTTCCTCTGATTCTCGCCATTGATTCACCTTCATTCTTTTTAATCTTCTCTCGAACAGGTATAAATCTCAAACACCCATTGAAATTTTACTCGCTATTTATCGTAAAATCAAGCTAATTTCCATGGAATTTGCAATAACTACAGGATCAATTACTATTTTACGAAAACAGAGGATGAAAAAGATGATTCAGCTTCACAGAGTCAAATCAATGGCCGCTACTACTACTTTTTCAAGATTTTTGTATTTTGTTTTAATCGAGCATATGTTTAGCTCTAATCTCCATGCTAAATTATTTTTGAATTACATCTGTTCTTAGTTTATGTACGCTAATTGGGATCGAAATTAGTATTCTGCTAAAACAGAGCAATATATATGTTTTGATTATGCATTCTATTCTTCACCAAACATTGGATAACATATTCTTGATAGTGTTCCAACACAAAATTGACCACTTTTGTGATTGATTGAAGCCATAAGATAATGTTGGGATGTTGCTCTTTTTTAGTGATTGGTCAATTGGATGTGTGTACACTAGTTGATAAACTGAAAGAGAAAGCTTTGTTTTTGTTTGCGGATTTCGGATCTTTATTGTGTATATTCTATTTATAAGTGTTCTTCAATAGGTAATTGATAGAGTCTAATAACGATTATCAAAATCCATAAAAAGAATGTGATGAAAAAGGAGTCATGATCATTAATCTCATCGTTCACGTCGACAGTATGAGAGCATGTTATAATCTTGAAATGGGTATTTGGATTGGAATTTGCCAAATTGGATTGCTAGGCAACTTAATTATTGTATTTTGTTATTTGTTAATTTAGGTTAAGAAAAAAACAAACTGTTCTTTTTCTTAATTTAAGGTAATAAACTTTTTTTTATTACTAATTAGATCATTAAACAAACATTTTCATATTTATTATATCTAAATGTAGTTGTTTAAAATTGTAGATTTGGGTAATTGCTTACCTAATAGATGATGATTTTGACAATGTCTATTAGTTAATGTATCTAGAGGACATACATATGACATATTTATAGATTTTAAGTTGAATATAACTAGTCATAAAAATTAGGGTAAATTACACGAATGGTCCTTATGGTTTAGGTAACTTACGTGTTTGGTCCCTAACTTATTTTTCAAACTCGGAAGGTCTTTACTGTTTGTTTTTGTTACACGTTTGGTCCATATCTTACATAAAAAGTCTATTTTTCCCTTGATTTTTTTAATTTATTTAAATAAACACACCCCCAACCCCATCCCCTCACCTAACCTTACCTACCATACTATTTTTCCATATTTAAATAATTGTATTATTACATACGATAGGGACCAAACGCGTAACAAAAACAAACAATATGGACCAAGCGTGTAACAATAACAAACAGTAGGAACCTTCCGAGTTAAAAAAATAAGTTAAGGACCTAGCGTGCAAATTTACCAAAACCATAAGGACCATTTGTGTAATTTACTCTAAAAATTAAAGGGTTAAATTAATACACTTAGGAATCCAACAAATATACTAAACTACTCAAAAATTATTCTACCTACGTTCATAGCCGGACTTGATATTTACATCAAATTTTGATACGCCTAGTTCAATAAGGTTGTTAAACTACATTTTATCTCAACTAGGTCATTGGATTAACATTTTTACACACTTAGTGACCAAATAGATTGTTTTCCTAAGTTTAGCAACTTAATTACAAAAAAATTAGCTTGTTATCCAAATTAACATAAATAAGATGGCACACCACATGATATCATGAAGTCAAATTAATCCTTGTTGTTAAGCCTAACTTGTATTACATAAAAATTGTTCAATTCTTGTTTTTCCATATCAATTCTAAAATACCTTTTCAAAATTATTATAGAACATGTCATTTTCAAAGCTTCATTTATTGATGATAAACAAAACCGGACCGGTCCCATTTCATGGCGGTTGAAACCTCGGCACGCGGTGGCTAGTGGTCCATGGAAATGGATGGTGTCAAATGCCACGAAGCCAAATAATTTAAATATAAAGAACTTTGATTCATGATTAAAGTTGGATGATGAGGAGTCTTGGAGGCAAAGGGAAATTGAATGTGCATGAAGAAGAAGTACTTAAAGGTACAAACATGAAAATGTGTGTCATTATTGCAATATGGTTGATTCATGTGAAGGACTCTTTTGTTTTCTTTAAGGGTTTTCTTTTTTCTTTCGTTTGTGTTGGTTTCTATGGAGATGGAGACAATTGCTTTATGGGTGTATAGCTAGTTTCTTTATGATGGACGAAGACAACTCATTTCAACTAGATTAAGTATTTCATATAACTTGTCGTGAAGGCCAAGTTGACAAATCAGTCGAGATTTAATATACTTTCGTATAGAAGACTCAAGATTGATCCGTATTTGAGGTATTTATGTGAATAAGCAATGCCCATCCGTCGAAAGAAGAGTATCTATTTTTATTAAAGAGCACATTTCACATAAATTGTTGAGATATATAGACCATGCAAATGGTATATGATAATCAATAGTGTCTAATCCCATGACTAAATACTAATCGTATCCACTTTTAGTAGTAAATAGTAGCGTATAGTAGAACCATTAAAACGACTGGATTTTATAAAAGCTAGCAAAAAGCTAGAAATAAAGAAACAATTACAAAGTATTTATAGTCAAACATCACACAAACTTTATGTGTTAAATTTACAAGCGGGAATTAAAATTGCTTACTATAAAAGAACTATATATAATACCATGATAGGCCTCAAAGTAATATAGAATCATAAAATAACGGGTAAATGGCACAAAGTTATACCTACGTTAAGCACCTTGTTATGCTGGTGTGTTTCCTGAGTTTTTCAATAAACATATTGGTCTGAGTACGTTTAAGGATTGTTTCTAAATGCAGTTAAAACAAAAGGAATAAGGATGTACGCCTTTGAGATGCTAATGAACATAATCACATTTTTTAGAACAGTTGCATGTATAAAAACAGGTCTCTAGCAAGGCACTGGAAAGCAAAGATTAAAAAAGCTTACAAAATAAAAGCATTGATTGGATTTTTTTAACCAATTACAAACACCTTTTCGCTTTCTAGAGACAATCTAATTTTATAAATATTCTATAATGACATAAAAAAATCATTGATTTTTATACTTCATATTACCGAACACCAAATCATCACGAAAACACCACAAACCCACCACATAGTATCAACGATTATTTCCATCACTAGTTGTTTTTGTTTTTATTTTTTTAATTGTTAAAATTTAACTAATCCATCCACATAATGAACTCCACAATTGATTATGAGTTCCTAAATTAATATTCATCCATTTGGACAACTCATTATATGTTCTAGCTGCGACCTCACATTTAAATGATAAATAATCTAAAGCTTTATTATACTACATGCAAATCAGACACAAGACAATAGGAACATTGTACCTTTGTCACAAAGATTATGTCTCAAAGGTAAACGATCTAACAAAAGCCTCCAAACTAAGATGTTAAACTTCCTAGGCACCGATGAATTCCATCTAACAGGTTGGATACCATCTGGTAAGAAAAAGTCATTAAAATATTTACAAACACAATTAACCATAAAGACTACCGAATCATCCAAAGACCACATCCAAGAATCCGGTTCCATGTAAAACTCTAAATTCACAACAATTGGTCCAAATTTTCATGTTCAACTTCACTTTATTAAGACCGTCTGAGCCTCTGAAAGACATACAACAAATAAAAGGTAAGCTACAAGAGTTAAGTAAGTAACACCAACAAAATTACATGTAATAGCCACATAACTGGATTATATCAATTTGTTCAACAATAATTTAATTAAATCTCACAATGCCTTTCAAGTCTCTCTCTCTCTCTCTCTCTCTCTATATATATATATATATATATATATATATATATATATATATATATATATATATATATATATATATATATATATATATATATATATATATATATATATTCATAGTAAACAACTTAGGTTCGCCAGAGAATGAGTTTATAGCTACCAAGGTTCTAAAAAACGCAAGACGTGACTTGGCGGCGAGGTCAAAGTTAAGTTATGCCAAGCCTTGGCGAACCATAACGTTTTTCAAGGCGTGACTATTTTATATACATTAAAAGAGATAAATCATATAATTATTGAATTGTATCAAATATATGAAGTTTTTAGAAGTGTTATATTCATATTTAATATAAAAAAGTTAACAAAAACTCAATTATTTTAGGCCCGACAAAAAAAAAATCGAAAAAACCTGCGCCTTGAAAAAAACTCGCACCATAACGCGATAAGACACGCCTTGACACGTTATTTGGGCACCACGCTTAACTAACCCACCTTGGATGTTTTCATAACGGCTATATCACGCCTTGCGCCATGGCACGCCTTGAGGCGCGCCATGGCGCGCTTTTTAGAACCATGATAGCTACTTAACAACTATCGATAAATTAATAATGCTTAGCTATAGTATTACGTCTACACATCCACTAAATATGGAGTTAAAGGTACTCAAGCCGCCATTTCAGCTAACTGAGACGACAATGTTTTTATGGATACTCAAACCACCATTTCAGCTAACTGAGACGACAATGTTTTTATGGATACTCAAACCACCATTTCAGCTAACAACAACAATGTTTTATGGCTATCAAGCCACAATTTCAACTAACAATGTTTTTATGGATACTCAAACCACCATTTCAGCTAACAACAACAATGTTTTATGGCTATCAAACCACAATTTCAACTAACAACGACAATAATGATTTTATGGCTACCCAAACCATCATTTTAACTAACAATGACGATAATGAATTTATAACTACTCGCAATACTATTTTAACTAACAAAAAAGAAAATGGTTTTACGGCTGCTCAAGCCACCATTTTAACTAACGGTTCTCAATAATGGATTTACAACTACTCAATCTACCATTTCAATTATCAGCGAAGGATATCGGAACAATGTACTCATTATGTTGTTCACCATATTTGTTGAAAATGGTTATAAGGTACTCGTTATGTGACTCATCATACTCGTTCGATGATACCACAAGGTTCTTGTTATATAGATAATTATACTCATTTAATATTATCACAAAATACTCGTTATGTGACTCTCCATACTCATTAGGTATTGTGACTAGGTAGTCGTTATGTAACTCACCAAACGATTTATAAACTATTTATAATTAACACTATTTAGCTAATCTCAACAACCATAATGCTTCATGTATTGTGTTATCAAAACCAAATATAGTATCAACTATAGCAAAACTCTATATCTCATCAACTACCAGTAATTAGTCAGTTATATAATTTTTTTTTCAATCTTTCAATAATGATTACTAATAGTTCCAACTATATAAGCTTGTTACACCAGACTGCATTAATCGACTATAAATCTTAGCTATAATTTTTTTTTACTCCATAATCTATAATCTCAGTTATATTAGTTAATTACTCCGTATAATAATATTATGTTGTAAATCTCAAAAATTACCAAATTATTGATTTGTCAACACATTCATCATATGAATAA